TCAAAATATATAATAGGGAAAAACCAACAAAAAACCAATGGAATAAAATAGAAAGAAAACAATGAGTGGAGTGGAGGGATTAAAATTTGGGTCAATAATGTATCAAGAACTTTTTGAAAACATATTTCAGCAAAATCAAAAAAAAACTCAAGTTTTTAAAAAATATGGTTAAAAATAGAAAGTGGAGGGATTAAAAAAGGTTTCAATATTTAAAAGCTTCAAAACAATGAGTGGAGTGGAGGGATTAAAATTTGGGTAAATAATGTATCAAGAACTTTTTCAAAACAGATTTCACCAAAATAAAAAACATCAAGTTTTAAAAAAATATGATTAAAAATAGAAAGTGGAGGGATTAAAAAAGTTGTTAATATTTAAAAGCTTCAAAACAATGAGTGGAGTGGAGGGATTAAAATTTGGGTATCAAGAACTTTTTTAAAACATATTTCACCAAAATAAAAAAAATCAAGTTTTAAAAAAATATGGTTAAAAATAGAAAGTGGAGGGATTAAAAAAGGTGTTAATATTTAAAAGCTTCAAAAAATGACAAAACCCAACAAAAATACCAAGGAAAATAATATAAAGGATGCAATGTCGCGAGTGAGAGCACGGTGAAAAATATTTTTTAAAACGAAAATGCTGTAAATGTTTTATAATCTGATGCAGTTTTTATAAATATATGATCAACATTGATGAGAAATGATGATTTTTATTTAAAAGTTGAGAATGACATAAGGAAAAATATAATTTATTAAGAGCATTTTGAAAACATATTTAAACTAAATAAAAAAGCTCAAGTTTTTAAGAGATCTGGTTAAAAATAGGAAGTGGAAGGATTTAGAAGATGTGTTGATATTTAAAAAAGCTTTAAAATAATGGGAAAACACAACAAAAATCCCAAAGGAAAAAAAATAGAAGGAATGCAATGATTGGAGTGATGCATGGTGATTTGCTCAATTTCAACATTAAAAATATTTTTTTACAGAAGAAAATACTAAAAGCGGTTTACAATATGATGAATTTTTTTACAAATGTAAGATTAACATCCCTAAGAATGAAGAAATGGTGACTTTTATTTAAAAATTGAGAAAGATATAAAAAAATATATAATGTATGAATAACCTTTCGAAGACATGTTCAAGGAAAAAAAACTCAATTTAAAAAACAATATGATTAAACAAAAGGAAATGCAAACATTAAAATGATGTGTTTATACTTAAAAAAACAAAAGCTTTAAATTATGTAGGAAAACCAACAAAATTCCCAATGAAAAAGATAAAAAGAATGCAATGAATGGTGTAAGTGCATGGTAGTTTCCCGAAATATCACATCAAAAATAATTTTTTTAAAAAATAATGTAAATGGTTTAGAATAAGATGCATCTTATACCAATATATGATGAAAATTACTAAGAAATGCTTACTTGTAATAAAAATTGAGAAAAATATAATGTAATGAGAACTTTTTGAAGACGCATTTTAGCTCAATTAAAAATAATGTTTAAACAAAAAGTATGATAAATTATAGGAAGTGCAAAGATTAGAAAACTGGATTATATTTTTTTCAAAAAGGGCGTCAAAATATATAATAGGGAAAAACCAACAAAAAACCAACGGAATAAAATGGAAAGAATGCAATGAGTGGAGTGGATACATGGGGCTTTCCTCAAGTCCCAGATCAAAAATATTTTTTAAAAACAAAAATACAGTAAATGTTTTATAATATGATGCATTTTTTATGAATATATGATTATCATTGCTAAGAAATGGTGACTTTTATTTAAAAATTGACAAAGATTTGGAAAAAAAAATACATTGTATCAAAAACATTTTCAAAACATATTTAAACTAAATAGAAAAAACACAACTTTTTTAAAAAATATCGTTAAAAATAACAAGTGGAAGGATTAAAAAGATGTGTTTATATTTCAAAAAAGCTTCAAAATAATGGGAATACCAAAAAAAAAATATCAAGGAAAATAATAGAAAGAATTCAATGACTGGAGTGAGTGGACAGTGATTTTCTCAATTCCAACATGAAAAATATTTTTTAAAAAAGAAAATGCTGTAAATGTTTTCATATTAAAGCTAAATAAAAAACTCAATTTAAAAAAACATCGTTAAAAATAGGAAGTGGAAGGATTAAAAAGATGTGTTTATATTTAAAAATGTTTCAAAATAATGGGAAAACCCAACAAAAATCCCATGTAAAAAAAAATAAATAGAATGCAATGGCCAGAATAACTGCATGCTGATTTTGAAGATTTCAACATGAAAAGTATTTTTCAAAAAAGAAAACATTAAAAATGATTTATTATATGAAGAATTTTTATGAATATATTATTAACATTACTAACAAATGATGACTTTTTATTTAAAAATTGAGAAAGATATCACCAAAAATATAATGTAACAAGAAGCTTTTGAATACACATTTAAGCTGAATAAAAAATGAAGTTTAAAAAAATATGGTAAAATAATAGGAACCAGAAAGATTAAAAAGATTGATTATATTAGAAAAAACCATCAAAATAATGGGGAAATAACAACAAAATAGAAAGAATGCAATGAGTGGAGTGAATGCAAGGTGCTTTCCTCAAGTCCCACATCAAAAATATTTTTTAAAAAAGAAATTACTGCAAATGTTATATAATATGATGCATTTTTTATGAATATATGATTAACATTGCTAAGAAATGGTGACTTTTATTTAAAAATTGACAAAGATATGAAGAAATAAAAATATATTGTATCAAGAACTTTTTTAAAACATCTTTAAATTAAATAAAAAACTCAAGTTTTATAAAATACATCGTTAAAAATAACAATTGGAAGGATTAAAAAGATGTGTTCATATTTAAAAAAAGCTTCAAAATAATGGGAAACCCCAAAAAAAAAATACCAAGGAAAATAATAGAAAGAATGAAATGAATGGAGTGAGTGGATGGTGATCTTCTCAATTATGAAAAATATTTTTAAAAAAATAAAATGCTGTAAATGTTTTATAATATGATGAACTTTTATAAATATATGATCAACATTGCTAAAAAATGATGACTTTTAAACATATTAAAGCTAAATAAATAGCTCAAGTTCAAGAAAAAAAACATCGTCAAAAATAGGAAGTGAAAGGATTAAAAAGATGTGTTTATATTTAAAAAAGTTTCAAAATAATGGGAAAACCCCACAAAAATCCCAAGGAAAATAATAGAAAGAATGCAATGAGTGGTGTGAGTGCATGGTAATTTTCTCAATCCCCACATCAAAAATACGTTTTAAAAAAGAAAACACTGTAAATGTTTTAAAATATGATGCATTTTTTATGGATATATCATTAACATTACTTAGAAATGATGACTTTCATTTCAAATTTGGGAAGGATATCAAGAAAAATATAATGCATTAAGAACTTTTTGAAGACATTTTTAAATTAAATAAAAAAACTCATGTTTTAAAAAAATATGGTTAAATAATAAAAAGTGAAAAGATTAAAAAGATTGTTTATATTTAAAAAAAGCTTCAAAATAATTGGAAAAAAAACCAACGAAAACCCCCCAAGGAATAAACTAGAAAGACTGCAATTGGTGGTGTGAGTGTATGGTGATTTCTTCATGTCCCTTATCAAAAATCAAAAATATTGTTTAAAAAAGAAATTACTGTAAATGTTTCTTTTGGTGAAAAAAAATACTTTAAATGGTATACAATATGATGCCTTTTTTTTTCAATATGAATATATGATAAACAATATAAAGAGATAATGACTTTTATTTAAAAATTGAGGAAGGTATTAAGAAAAATACAAAACATTAACTACTTTTGAAGACATATTTAAGCTATATAAAAAATCAAGTTTAAATAAAAATATATGGATATATATTTGGAAATGCAAAGATTAAAAAAGATGTGTTTATATTTTAAAAAAGCTTCAAAATAATGGCAAAAGGCAAATAAAAATCATAAGGAATAAAATAGAAAGGATGCAATGAGTGGAATGGTAGTTTTCTCAAGTCCCACTACCACATTAAAAATATTTTTTAAGCAAAAATATAGTAAATGTTTTATAATACGATGCATTTTTTATGAATATATGATTAACATTGCTAAAAAATGGTGATTTTTATTTAAAAATTGAGAAAGATGTGAAGAAAAATATATTGTAATAAGAACTTTTTCAAAATTATTTAAAATAAATAAAAAACTCAAGTTTTTTAAAAATATGGTTAAAAATAACAAGTGAAAGGATTAAAAATATGTGTCTATATTTAAAAAAGCTTCAAAATAATGGGAAAACCCAACAAAAATTCCAAGGAAAAAAAAAATAGAAAGAATGCAATGATTGGAGTGAGTGGATGGTGATTTTCTCAATTTCAACATGAGAAACATTTTTTAAAAAAGAAACTACTATAAATGTTTTATAATATGATTAATTTTTTATCAACAAAAAGCACATGGAAAAAAGAAAAAGAATATAACGAGATAGGCAGTTTCTTAAGTCCCACATCAATCATAATAGAGAAGAATAGCGTGATGGTTATCCATTAAAAAGGAAGCTATGTAGAGTCTATGAATGTATCAGTGGCTGAGAAACAATTTCATGGATAACAATATGATACTATTTTCTGACTCTGAAATTGTTTCTTCTTAGAGAAGTAGTGAATAACAAACAAGATGCATAGTAACAGAAACAAAATATCATAAAATGTTGGAACAATAGGAAAATGAGAGCAGAAATTTGGAAAATAAAGTATCAGCTACTGTAAACCTAGTCAGCAATCAACAATATCACCTAGTCAGCAATCAACAATATCAAATATGTGATTATCCCACTACTAAAGCAAAATAACATATTATACATTCGCTAGGAGTTCTAAATCAAGTCTATTAACAAGGTGACGTTGGGAGAGTAAAAAATTAGAAATTAAAATTTAAAAGAAAAGAAGATCAGCAGAAATTTGAGAAATATAATATCAATTATGGGCGTGATGAGCCGTAAATGAAAATTACCCTGGTTGACAGATTGGAGAAGCGACACAATGTCAATGTCTGGCCTTGATCTGTCTCGCCGTCGTTTTCTTGCTTTCACCAATTCATGACCTAATTCTGTAATCAAATGAGAAACATAAATAGAATTTCTAGATTGAGGAAAATTGTATGAAAAAAAACTAATAATAATAAGACAATATACCTCTGAGCCCTTGAAGAATTGTGAGAAAGATAATCATTCGGAGGAGTTGAGGCCTCGGTGAAGAAGAGAGATAAAGTGCTTTGTTTATTGAGAGTGAGAGCGATAATGGGAAGAAGAGTAACCGTTGAAAAACAACGGGAAGAGAGAAAACGATGCCCTTGCTCCTTTCGACGACATTATCGAATCGAGGGTTTTCAACGATCGCGAGACCGGAAGGTCAAGAGGGTTTGGATTCGTGATTTTTCCTTAGAGCAGTCGGTGGAGGTAGATAGAGAAACGGCGATAGATGCCGCGAGGGTGGATACTACAGGAACGGCGGCGGAGGATATGGCGGTGGCGGTTATGGTAGTCGTGGATCTGGCTACTCTCGCGGCGGCAGCAAGTCAGATGAAAACGGGAGAAAATATAGATTATAGGATGAGGGGGCTTAGGGTTTTTTCCCCCACAGCACTTGGTGAATAATAAAATAAAATAAAATAATAATAATAATAAAGTCTTTGGCGGTGGTTAATAGTCTTTTCCTTTTACCGTTGATGGGAACATAGTGGCGCTCCGCTGTTATGGCTCTCATTATTATTATTATTATTATTTTTATGGCTCATCAAAATATAGCCGTTCAGGGATTCTCCAATAAATAAGGCTTTAATGAACGAAATTGATTTGCTAGGATATGTTTGGGAATTGAATAATTTTTTATTCATCAATAATAGTATGTATTAAATTAAATATTTATAAAAACGGGAGAAAATATAGATTATAGAATGAGGGGGCTTAGGGTTTTTTCCCCCACAGCATTTAGTGAATATAATAATAATAATAAAATAATAATAATAATAATAAAGTCGTTGGCGGTGGTTAATAGTCTTTTCCTTTTACCGTTGATGGGAACACACTGGCGCTCTGCTGTTATGGCTCTTAATATTATTTTTTTTATGGCTCATCAAAATATAGCCGCTCAAGGATTCTCCAATAAATAAGGCTATAATGAACGAAATTGATTTGCTAGGATATGTTTGGGAATTGAATAATTTTTTTATTCATTAATAATAGTATGTATTAAATATTTATAAATTATAATGGTTGTTTCATAAAATTTCTTATTTATAAATTTATAATTTATAAGTATAAATGTGATACTCCATAAAAAATATAAAGCATTTTTAACCATATGTCACCTACACTAAAGTGGTTACTTGTCCTTAAACTAATCCTATATTTTTATATTTACCCCTATTTAATAGGATGTTTTACCTTAAAATAAATATAAAATAACTTATTCAATAGGGACACTTTTAAAAAAGGCAATAATTACACCTTGAAAAATTAAGTATGTTTCGATTAAAAAGTTCAAAACTAAAGTTAGGATTCAATTGAGGTTAGCAAAGTGAGGTTAGGAAAAAAGTCTGTGACTTTAACGTGATTTATGTTTGAATACCTTTTTTAGTAATCAGTTGAACAAATTGAAAATTATTTGGATGATTTGATTCAAAAGTTATTTAAGATATATAATAACAAAAATAAACATAAATTTTGTTTTCTATATTTTTGTGACTAATTTGATATTTTTAAAAAAATCATAAACTTTAAATTATATTTTTTTAAAAAGGTAGACTTAAAATATATAAAATAAATTAATTATTTAAAAATCAAAATTTTAAAAAAGAGTATGAAACAAATGATAAATTATAGTCTATATATAATTAAAAATTTAATAAATAGTCTAATTTGATCTTCTTTAAAAAAATTAAACTTTTAAATTAAAAATTTAAAAAAACAATATATACAAAATGAAGTATTTAGTTTCATTTATAATTATAATATTGGATTGCTTTGCGGAACTACCTATTACGTCGGTCCCCACCTCACCAACTTTACATTTTCACCGACGTAACCTTCGCTATCAATAACTCTTTCCTTCTCTTCTCTACTTACCTTGTCTTCTCCATGCAGCGGCTTTGCCATGCTTAACGCCTTCTCTGTTCGTGCCCAAAACACCATGAGCACTAGTTTGGTCAATGAAAGATCAGACAGCGATAATAATGGTGAGCACAATCTCTAGTTAGATTTGTAGTGACGGATTAGATGGCAATGAGCACACTCGTGAAGGTAGTGGAGAACCACACATTAGAGCAAGGACACGTTGGATGCAAGGAGGGACGATAGAGAGCTGGAGATTGGCTAGAGGTCACTGAGAATAAGACGGTAGAGATCGATTGACAAAGATGGCTTTGCCTATAAGCAATGCAAATGAGGGAGGTCATAGGAGCAAGAAAGGACCACACACAATAGGAAGGTGAAGTAAAGCTAGAGCTTAAGAGTAGATAGATGAGAAGAGAGAGAAAGCACAAAAATTTAATGCTTTCCTAATGGATCAACACCAACGTAATAGAAAAAGCTAGGTTTGATAGTGTTAACCTCTAGAATTTCATATTATTTCATCACATTTTTGTTAAATTCTAATCCATTTTGGTTCAATTGTATATGTTTTTATTGCTTAAATTGGAAAATGTGCATTTCATCTTGGGTTTGTATTCTTGGCTTTGATTTGATATATTTTTGGCCTAATTTTGCATTATTTTGGTTGAAGACTTGATTAAAAGCATTTCTGAAGCTTTGTAGATATTTTTATAAGGTTTTTGGATGAAGAAATCAAGCACAAAGTGAATAATTTTTGTTAGCTACAAAAATAGTATAAAACTGCTAAAGTCATCTTAAAGTTATAACTTTTGCTCGTGACTTTCGCCATTGTCAGAAAATGTTGCATTTTATTAAGTCTGAAATTAGTTAAGTAGGACACTTATATTGAGAGAGCTCAACCCAAAAGGTATTCTACACACTTGAAGACACTTTGGGAGCTTTGTTGTGTTAGGGTTTGAGCTTTGGATGAGTTGGATTCAAGAGTTGAAACTTTAAAGAGATTTTAAACTCCATTTCTTTGGTTCCTTTGTTTCTTCTCCACTTCTCTTCTTGTAATTTTGTAATGGCTATGAATATCTTGTGTACTTGTAGTTTCTTTATATTTATGAGTAGCTAAACTTTTTGCTTTAGGATTATTTTGAACCCTTGTATGGATTAACATTATGTTCCTCCTCTCTTTTTGTGATTAATGATATATATGTGTTTATTTTACTCTTTCCTTAATGGTTCTAAGTGATTGGCCACCATTTAAATGTTGGGTTTACTTAATTGATGCTTGAGAGGGTTAGGTTGAGTGTAGAACTTAGGTAAAATTGCGCAAGAACTTGATATTTGCATGTTGAATATATGATTTTGCTAGTAAGATAGATATATATTTGCTAGCCTTGCATAGCCACATTAGGATTGGTGTTTAAAATTGAGTTTATTAATTATAACAAGAGATTGGGCAATTAATTTAACTAAATATTTATTCAAGACTTAAGAGAGCTTGTCCAAGTATTTTTAGAACCTTATGTTAGTACTTATTTTCACTAAAAGTATTTTTGATAGGAGGTAATTTTGATGTTAAGAAATGCAAGGAGGATAAATAATTCTAGGTTTCAATTTGTGTTTGAAGTTTGTGAATCAATTACTTTTCTTTATTTTCTAGTGTTAATTTAATTTGTAAAATATTTTCATCTAACTATGTGAGGCTCAACTTGATTGAATTTATTTAGTCTTTTGTTTGATCATTTTTTTTGAACAAATCCTCGAAGGAACGATACTTCACTTTTATTAGATTATTTGCTACGACCCATGCACTTATAGTGGCAACAAGTTTTTGGCACCATTGTCGAGGATTTGCTTTTGAAAATATTTTAATCAACCTTAGATTAGTGATAGTAGATTTTGCTTAAGCCTTTGTAGATATTAGTTCTAGATTTTTATTTTGTCTTTGTTTAGTGTTTTTGTTTTAGTTTGATACTTCTTTAGTTGTTTTCTTCTTCAGGTACCCATTTAACATATGCAAGCCATAAGGCCAAAAGGTTTGGAAGTTATACTTAAAAGGCTAAAATTTTTTGAAGAAACTGAGTCTCCAAATTATGAAAGAACTCCTAAAACTCAACCTGAAAACATTGCAGAAGACGGTACGATACTACCTCAGTCAATGGCTTGGCTAATCAAAATCTAAGGGGTACTCAATCTTGTATTTAGATGCTGGAGTTTCAAATACATACTTTTAAGATCAAGCCCACCATGATCATAATGCTTTAAATGAATAGGTTGTTTCATGGTCTATTTAATGAAAATGCTAACATGCATTTGATATCTTTTGTGGAAGTATGTGACTCTTTCAGACAAAATAGGATGCTTAAAGATGTCTTGTGATTGTGATTGTTTTCAATTTCTCTACAAGACAAGGCTAAAGAATGGTTTAACAATATTTTCAAAGGTTCTATTAATTCATGGGAAGATCTTGAGAATAAGTCTAGAGCTCAATTCTTCTCTAATGATAAAATTGTAGAAGTAAGAGATGAATTTCTTAGCTTTAAATAATATCCGAATGAGCATCTCTATACAGCTTAGGAGAGATACAAGATGTTGATGAGAAAATGCTCCAATCATAGGGGTGGATAAATGAGTAGTGATTTAAATTTTTTGTAATTATCTGAATGTACCTTCTAAAGCCATAGTTGATTCTATCACAAATGAAGGATATTGAAATGTGCCTGTCAATAAAGTTTTTCAACTCTTAGATCAATTTTTGCAAACAACACTCAAAACATAGATAGAAGGAATACATCAATAGTAACTAGTACTAAAGATGATTCTTCTTCCCAAATTGTTGCCATCTTAAATGCAATGAACAAGTGTTTTGATATGTTAGAGTCTCAAATGTAAAAGGAAAATTCTCAGAATGTGTATTCTGTCCATGCTATTCCAACTATGTGCAATCAATGCAATGATGTTCACATGCTCGATCAATGTCCTCTCTACATGATCATCGAGTCTGTCAACTATATGGGAAAATTTTAAAATCCTCACAACAACCCTTACTCTCAAACATACAACTCAGGATGGAGGAATCATCTTAACTTTTCATGGAGTCAAGGAAATTCCTCAAATCAACCTTCTTTTAATGTCAAGCCAACTCACCCTCTGAGTTTTCAAGATCTACCAAAAACTAATGCCAGTTAACAAAGATGAGTCTAGAATGGAAAAGATTTGCAAACCTTGAGTAATCAAGAGTCCATAAGAGTTGAAACTAAGGCAACACTTTCTCTTCATGAAACCACAATTAAGTGTCTCGAAGTACAAATGGGGCAATTAGCTTCATAAATGAATGCCATGTTAAGAAGTAATCTCCTTAGTAATACCATTCTAAATCCTAAAAGGGATGGTAAGGAGGAACGTTAAGCAATCACTTTGAGAAGTGGGATGCAATTACCTAAAGTTCTTATACCAAGTTTAAGTGGTGTGAGCAATGGTGCTACTAATGTGGTTGTTAATGATGAAGTAGTT